GAGTCTTGCCATGGTGCTGGCCAACCAGGTCTTCACCCGGGTTCACAGAAGTCTATTGAACACTGTAGGGCTTAGCTCACAGCTTCATTGCTGTTTTCCCCTCGCTTCCCCTTATGCGTGACGAGCATGATCACCAATCAAAGCATGTATTCCCATTGAGTCTTAGTCTTGGAAGGGGGTTTACACTGAGGGGAATCGACCACTTGCCTTGATGTCTCCTGAGTGTCCCACCTGGTTTTGAACCCTCATCTCTCTCTGAGTCTGGTCCCAGCTTTCTGCCTTAGTGAGTCTTGGGAGGATAAACTCGTGGCAGCGTGGATTCCTGGCCCACACATGGAATCTGACTTTCTTAGCTGGAATCACCCACAGAGGGGCAGAGGTCCTGGGAAGAAGGAGATAGAGGTGGGAGCAAGAATTTTGTCAAACTTCAGCTAAATTCCAGACGAGCCAATTCCAGGTTGTAACTTCAAGGACAAAAAATTTAGTTGAACCTCAGTGTACTCATCTTTGAAATGGGCAATATGCTCTCATTTTGTGAGAAGTAGCCCAGTGAGTGGTTCCGAGTTAGATAAAGAATCTAGAATAGTCTCCTGGCCCACATACTGGCTTTAGTATGATCTCACAGGGTACTTTTTGAAACCCCACCATGCAGGGCTGGGCAGTCGCAGGCCAGGCCCAGATCAGTCACGTGGATGAGAATATGGTGTAGCGGCGCTGTGGGTTAATGCGCCAGACTGCAAAACCGTTTGAAATGCAAGGTTCAAGCTCATCATATGGTCCTGGGAAACCCTATACAGGGTCGCTATGGGTCAAAGCTGACTCGACGGCATTTAACAACAACGATTCCCTCCCACCCCAAGCTGAGGGAGAAGGTGGAAGGCTCAAATACTTCCGAAACCTCGATTCGGACCTCTTCTCCTGTATCAACCGTCATCCATCACCTCGCGCTCAATCCGCCTGTCCGAGCCATTTGCACAGCTGTCCCTTGTTTCCGGCTTATGTTTGCCAAATGCCCTAGTAGCGTTCGATTCTGATCCCGCACCCACACTCCGCACTTTGGCCCTGGAGAAAAGAATGGTTTGACAGAGCTTGTGGAGTCCCCGCCTACTTTAAAGCACGCATTTACTGGTAGCCACACTAATCCATACACACAAACTCATTACTGTTCCCAATTATGTGCCCACTCCACGAAATACCAAGACAAACAAAACCAATGGCCGTGGAGTCATTCTGACTCACGGCCACTTCAGGTGTGCAGAATAGAACTGTGCTCCAAACATTTTTGAAGACTGCGGTCTTCCGTGTAGCAAAGCACTCACAAAACAGACCCCAGTGCACAGGTACGAACGCTTGGATTAGCTCTCAGACGCGCCCACCCCAGTCTCTCCGAGGGAAAGTTGAAAATCCGGACCCATCACCCCGGCCTCCATTCACCACAGTGGAGGCGCTCTGCATTAACTCTCAAGGAGCTCTGCTAGCGTAGTGGTTACGAGTTGGGCAGCAGTTCGAAACTACCAGCGGTTCCGCGGGACAAAGATGAGGCTTTCTGTTCCCGTAGAGATTTACATCCTCGGAACCCCGGTGGCTATGAGTCGGAACCGACTCCACCGCACAGAACCACCACCACATTTAACACTCAATTGCGCGCGGTCCCGAGCCCTTCATATTGCACTGTCGGGTCTCGGGACCGCGCCCTGTCGTCCGGCTCCGGAGAGACTGGAAGGTCGCATGTAGGGACTAAACAGACACTTGCTGCTCGCAGCGAGTAGTTGTTGTTGTTATGTGCCAGGGAGTCGGTTTCCACTCATAGCGACCCTGTACAGGGTTTCCAAGTAGGGTGGGGGAAAAGGAAGGCTCAGTTGCTGCTCCAGATGTTCCCTCTGTGGGTGCGGCGAGCGCAATCGGGGCCTCGGATAGGTGGAAGGCAAAGACCCTGCTTCGTGATTGATCCGAGACAGAGCAGAAACCAACCCCAGAGCACGCTGTGGGTGACCGGACCCACGGAACTCCAGGTATCCCCAGACCCGCCAGCTTCCCAGGCCCTAGAAGCGCTGGCACTTCAAGGGACACACCCATCTGGCTCCACACCTCTCCCCAATTTCTTAAATTGGTGGCTTCAGGGCTCGGAGAAGCAGCTTGGACGCTTAATTTCCGAGTTTTCTTTATTCCACGCCCCTCTTTTTTAACCCCTAGAGCGCCGCAGTGCGGGACTAGAAGTTTTTAAGGTTAGGGAGCCCGGAGTCTGAGGCTGGCTTTGGCTCCGGCTTCTCCGCGGGGCCTACAAGCAGGGCAGCACTAGAACTGACCCCGGAGGACGCGGTGAGCGTCAGGCTTCGGGCGAGGAAAGGCGAGCCAGGTGTCATAACAGCAGATCGCTGGCACAGTGCGCCCTGGAAAAAGACAACCTGCTCCCATCAAACTGGGGGTGTGAGATCCAGCCTGCGATTTAAGGACTTCCCAGAAGTTTCGGTTTCGAACCCCGGTCTGGGCATTGTGTGAAGAGCTGCGTGTCGAAGTTGGTAAAGGCTATGTCCTTCTCTGTGTCCTTCACTTGGGACGTGCTTTTTTTTTTCTCCCCCGCCCAAATGCCTACTTTTGTAGAATTTTCCCTAGACTAACCTGTGGACATCCTGAAACCATTTGTAAATATGTGTGTACGCGGATGTGCATTTTCCTATGGAGAGAATCTATCTGTAGTTATTCCAGGGCAATTGTTAAGTGCCCTTAAATTTGTTCCTGTGTAAGGTTTCTGAGGAGCAGCTGGTGGGTTTGAACCACAGACCTT